GAGGGCGGCAAGCTGACGTGGCAGACGGCGGCTCGACGGCGCCGTCTGCCGTCGTCTACGAAAATTGCATTTAGCCCCTTTGCCGCCTAAATGCAATTTTCGCGGCCCTAAAGAGCATTTGGCTGGTACTTTTTACATCGGCGGCAAGGGACCCAGATGCAAAAAGTACCAGCCAAAAAGTACTAGGCCTGGGCTGGCTTTTTTGCATGAAGGCCCCTTGCCGCGGCAAGGGTTTTCGTGCAAAAAAAAACCCTCCCTCTCCCGTCTGCCGTCACCGCCCGTCCCTCCCCCGTTTGCCACGTCAGCTTGCCGCCCTAGTAGAGGGCGGCAGGGTCTATTTTTGTAATTTTTTGCGCCGATGGATTATTTCTGTAAATATTAAAAGAAAAAAATTGAAAAATGAAAAAAATTCGAAGTGAGAAGCCAGCACAAATGCAGGCCCATTGAAATTAGGCCTGCAGAACAAGCCCCTGTCCGACTAGTGGCCCAGTCCACCCAGAGAGGATCCGCGAATTCGGCCCGGCCCATAAACCCAACAGTGTTACTGGATCGGATATCTTACCTCTGTTGGGCCAAGCGGGCCCACAGCGTTAACGCCATTGTTTTTGCCGGGTTAGGATTATGAGCAGAAACGAAAAGAAAAAAAATATTTTTTTACTCCGTTTAATATTACAATAGAGTAGTCCGTACTAATTACAGCGATGAAAAGTCGCCTCGGACGTCCGATCGGAGCGCTAACATCGGACGCGTAATTAGCCGTAAGATATCCATCCAATAACTGATAGCAAATCAACAAATTCAGGGGGAAATGGGAAAACAATTCTCCATGTGTTGAGAATGTACAGTACATGTTCGGGTTGGAGATGTAGCAGACTGATCGAACTATTTGATGCAAGTGCAAGGCTAGACTGATTAATTAGCTAGACTGATTGCAAGGCTAGTATATTAATTAGTTAGTTAGTTAATTAATTATGCTGGCCAAGAAACGCAGGCCATGCATTTCTGCAGGCTGTTCTAATTAATTAGCCAGTGCAACAGCCCAATCATTCCAAATGACGACCAATAGTTAATCAAATCCAATCCCAACTTAATCAACGAATTGATTTCATACAAGTGCCTACCCGTCCATCCACATCCACACCATGTTATGTAGTATTGAAGTATTCTAGTATTTTAGATAAGCCTATCTATGAGCATATTAAAGTCACATAAGTTCTTTTTTTAATAATATATCGAAATGGTTTATATATGTGACCTATGCCGTTAAGCGGACAACCAATAAATTCTAACAGAAAAGAAAGCATAAGGTGTTAGGATATCCATCTTCCTCTAAATTATAACCCAGTTAAAATAACAATAAAAAGACTACATAGATTTATTTAAGCCACACTTGATTTTATCTCGTTTTTCGTTAACACGTTTTTAAATTGCTAAACGGTGTATTTCGTGTAAAAAAATTATATAGAAGTTGCTTTAAACTACTATATAACTCTATTTAATTTCATACCCTAATTAAAACTCAATTAAAATTAATTAGTTATATGTTAATGGTTTTTGTTTTCCGTACTTTGATTCTATCTTTATATTGGTAGAAACTAGCACGCGTTGATTAAGGGTGTGTTTGGATGGAGGATATGCATGGGTGGATAGAACATGGCGGCCCATTTTCTGTGGGTGTTTGGTTGCTGGGCAGGGGTGGGATAGGGCGGCCCAGAGAGGAATATTCCCCCCAGATGCTGGAGCGGCTGGGCGAGCTGGGTGAGCGAGTCGTGTCACCCCGGGCGAGCGAGCGAGGGAGGCGGTCGCCTGGGCCCGACGACGACGACGACGACGGTGCGGGCGGCGTCGGCGGGAGGAGGCGGCGGCGCCTACAGCCGGCGGGAGGCGGCGGCTGGCAGGAGGAGGCGGTGGCCGGCGGGAGGAGGCGGCCGCCGGCGACGCCTGCCGGTGACAACGACGATGCGGACTCGACGATGACGCGGACTCGACGACGACGACGGTGCGGGCGGCGTCGGCGGGAGGAGGCGGCGGTGCCTACAGCCGGCGGGAGGCGGCGGCTGGCAGGAGGAGGCGGCGGCCGGCAGGAGGAGGCGGCTGGCGGGAGGAGGCGGCCGCCGGCGACGCCTGCCGGTGCCAACGACGATGCGGACTCGACGATGACGCGGACTCGATGACGACGACGGTGCGGGCGGCGTCGGCGGGAGGAGGCGGCGGCGGCAGTGAGCCCTAGATCTATTGCTTTTTTTCTTTTTTTATATGTGTATTTATAATATGGAGAGGAAGTGGTGTAAAATTGCTACAGAATTTATAAAATGCATGCATTATGCATTAATTTGATGGGGGTATATTCACTATCTCAAGTGAGAGGTGTCCACACCTACAAATCCAACCTACTCCCTCCAACCAAACAAAAAATTGGATCACCAAATCCACCTTCATCCCTACAACCAAACAAAAAACTGGATCGCCATATTCATTCTACCAAACAAAAAACTGGATCGCCATATCCAACAAAATATAGACCGCCATATCCCATCCAACATTGACCGTGAACCAAACACACCCTAATTGATTCACCAATCGATCTAGATAACTATAGTAGCTGGAATAATAAGTTTCAGTTAATCGATCTAGATAACTGATTCACCAATCGATCATCAGTACGGCATGTGTGTGTACGTGTACCTGCATATATCTTCTAGATGGATCAACGTTCAGTTCGAAAGAAAGAAGAAACTTCCTGAAAAAGATACGTGTTCCATGACCAAACCAAAGCTAGCTAGAAGCCTAGAAGCAACTGATCATCGAGCAAGATCAGATATCTGATATGATGAGAAGTAAGAACACGTAAAACTTAATTTTACCCAAAAAAAAACTACGTAGATTGGTTTTCAATTACTTAAAATCTAAAAAATAGATTCATATGATATATTAAAGCAATTTCTGTATGAAAAGTATTCATGTACTAGCAAACATAAAAGAACAGTATAATTCATACACGTACGTTAATTATTACTCGGAGGTGTGAACAGGAGTGAAGACACGCGTGCACACCAGGGACTTCCATGCATGCATGGAGAATTATATTTGAGTGGATTTTGACCTTAATTTTAGACCTGATTAACTAGTGCTAATTCATGACTTCGTTCATCCACATTGCCGGATCCAGAAAATTAATTTGTCGGTGTCATAACGTGTTTATTGATATCATATTATGATTAATATTATGATTAGATCATAGTGTTACTCCCTCCTTCCCTAAATTTGACGCCATTGACTTTTTTAAATATGTTTGACCATTCTTCTTATTCAAAAACTTTTTTAAAATGTGTAAAACTATATGTATACATAAAAGTATATTTAACAATAAATCAAATGATAAAAAAATTAATAATTATTTAAATTTTTTTAATAAGACGAACGGTCAAATATTTTTAAAAAAGTCAACGGCGTCAAACATTTTAGGATGGAGAAAGTATAATATATGGATAAATAGTTTTGCTATAGGTTTTGTCAAAAATTACCGGTGTCAGGTGACACCGGTCGTAGATCCGCCCCTGTTCATCTAGCATTCCAGCTCATGAGCAATATGAGTAGTAGCTAGCTAGCTAGCTAGCCTTTTAAATTTCATGAGAAGTTTAGCAGAGTACTAGCAAGCTTCGTAGATTGTTCCTTGTTTAAATTTGTTCATATTATCACGAGACTTCCATGCACGTACGCACGGAGAATCCCTTAGCTATCCAGTGCTCAACTGCTCATGTTTGAGTGGATTTTGACTTAATTTTAGACAGATTACTGCTGACTTAATTACGTGTTTTGACTCGCCACCGATCCACAGATTGAGCAAGCTAAGCCCAGCTAATTAACTAGTGGCTTTTTACTACTGCTAATTTCTTTACGAGAGCAGGTACAATAAGTAGACTATTGGCCAGCTGTAAACATATTTTAGCGAGATAAAAGATGAGAGAGAAAAGCAGCAGACTACAGATCTATATAGCCAGCTACAGCGCGGGCTCCAAGACACAATGTGTGTATGACAGGTGGGACCATATATAATAGTATAGTAAGCAACTATTGTATGAATTAACTATTAGATTGTCTATAAATGAATTGGAGCTGGTAGTGGGCTATACTATTAAACTTGCTCTGAGAGCCATGCTAGCAAGCTTCCCAGAGTGTTCCTAGAGTCTTTAATTTTTCTTCAGTTAATTCAGGTGTTGACCACGTTACCTAGGAGAAGTAATTTAATTAGTGCCATAACTTACTAACCAAGCATATGCTTATAGATAATGTCTTTTTCAACTCGTGACAGTTGTTAGTTACCTAGAGTTTTCCTGCAACCTAGCCAACAGGTTGGTCAAACAACAACCACGTTTTGATCAACTAAATTCTCCTCCACGTCACACCCAAATTCTACATGATAAAAAGTGTATAGTAAAGCACATGTACACATAACATGCATTATCCCGCTAATTATAAAGTATAACTTTATTCTATAGGTGATAAAAACGTGCACACTAACTGTACAGCAATTAATTAGTATTGTGACAACAGTATTAATTCAGTACTTGATCATCGATCGACTTAATTAGAACAAATATCATAATTCTGTTGCTGTACTGACACGTACACGGCCTCTGAATTTAATCATCTCAAGCAAGCAACCTAGCCAGCCAGCTATTAATCGTTTCCTTCCAAGTTACAGTATCTCAAGAGGTTGTAGGTAATTAAGCTACGAAACCAGTTAACCTATAATGACTAGTATTATCAAGACACTTTGTATATCGATCATAAAACATACACGTGCTAAAAATGATTTGGTCAGTCTTAGAGTAGATAAGATGTGCACACAAGCTAGCTAAGTGATCACTGATTGGTAGTAGCATCACACGGCAAGCAACAGCTATCTCTGATCGATCTCTTAACTCCAACTACTACCTATCACAGAATTAACTATAGCTATTTAATTATTTAGCTATAGCTGAGCAACCAAGAATTAATTAACAAAAAAATTAAATACATATGCGTATTTTTCTTATACATGTATTTTACATATTGTATATATATACATAAATTAAACCAATTCAACCAATGAAAGAATTGATCTGTAACTCCTATATCCAATTAAACCAAATCTAGCTAACAGGGGATTAATTACAAGATACAAATGATAGATGAACAAACAATGGCTATATACACAAACTAATCATCATTCCTAAGACTAATCACCAAATTAAGAAAGTAATTAACAGAAAAAACTATGGGTTTAATTTAATGGAATTTTATGGCTAAAATTAAACAAATCTTGTGGGCTTGGCTAGCTATGCCGGGATCATGAGCCTGGGCTTCTTGAAGGCGAGAGGGCTGAGCACCTCGTCGTCCTCCGCCGCGCACCGCTGGTCGGCGGCGGCGGCGACGTCCGGCAGCGCCGGCAGGTTGAGGTCGAAGCCCCGGCTCGCCGCCACCGCCACGGTCGTCTTCGCCGCCGGCTTGGACGCGCCGGCGCCGGCGGCGCTGCCGATCGTGCCGTCGTAGTGGCATCGCTTGTGGCCGCCCAGCGCCTGCCCCGTCGGGAACGCCTTGCCGCACACGTTGCACTCGTGCGCCCTCCCGCCGCCGCCGCCGGAGACGCCCGACGCCGACGAGGACGGCGTCGCGATAGCCGCCGGTTTCGTCTCCACCACCACCTCGTCGTCGTCGACCATGGCGGGCGGCGGCGGCTTCCGGTGGCTGGCCTTGTGGCCGCCGAGAGCCTGGTAGGACGCGAACGCCTTGCCGCAGACGGAGCACCGGTGCTCCACCGCCGCCGCCGCCGCCGACGCCGACGCCGCCACGTCGTCGCCGTCGCGTCGCCCGCGCGCCAGCATGAGGAGGCAGAGCGCGAGGTACTCCTCCTCGGAGGGCGGCAGCTGCGGTCGCCGCCGCCGCGACCGCTTCCGCTTCCCCCACCCCTCCACCTGTCCTCCTCCTCCTCCGCCGCCGCCGCCGCCGCCGTGCGTGACGATCACCTCCGCCTCCTCCTCACTACTACTTCTCGACGCCTCAAGAACCGCCTCCACCGCCATGGCCACTAGTAGCTTAATTAGCTAAGCTTGGAGATGATCACAACTATCTTAATTAATTGGGTTTCTTGAGCTTGCAAGGGAAAGAGAAGTGCACAAGAAAAATGGAAGGAGAAGAGAGAAATGGAGAAGAGGAGTGGTGAGTAGAATTGAAGAGTAGGGGAAGAGTGTGGGGTTTATATGAGGAGGACAAGTACTCCTACTAGAAACATATACTCCTACATGGAGAGAGATGGAGTGGAGTCTTGGGGTCAAACACCGAGAAAAATATATGGATCAACATGGATGAATTAGAGATTTATAATCAAGTCTGTGGATGATTGATTATGTGTTGCTAAATACCCTACTAAGCTAGCTTGCTTAGTACTACATGCATGGTTGGGATTCATTAGTTATTGATTATTCTACTAGCAAGATTATTCTAGAAGAGAAGAGAGTGTAGTACTGTAGTGTGTGCATGGTGCAAAATACTCCCCCGTCTTTAATATAGTAATCTAGTACCGGATGGAACACTTCATAGTACAATGAATCTGGATAGGAAGCATGTCTAAATTCGTTGTACTATGAAATGTCTCGTCCTGTATTAGATTGCTATATTATAGGACCGGATGGAGTATTTATTACTTGTTGTATTAATTAATTAATTAATTGTGTTGGTGTAGAGGAGCTAATTGAGCTAGTCCACAGGATGGAAAATTAAGCGTGGAATGATCCAATGGAATGGTCTGGGCAGCAGAGGCGGCGACCGGTGCCAACTGCCAAACTGTATTGTACTTGTGCTACTGTACTAGTGTGATCCATGTAGTAGTAGTAGCTTCCAAATGGATATGGCTGTCAGGCTGGAGTGACGTGTACACTACGTGCATGCTGATCCATCAGAAATTCTATTTTCACAAGGCAATTTTCCTACCTTAGTTTTGGTTCTTGTTTTCCATGCTTACGTCACACTTCAAAACTGCTAAACGATACGTTTTCTTAAAAAAAAATTATAGGAAAAGTTGTTTTAAAAATCGTAATATTTTATTTTCTATATAAAATTAGCTAATACTTAATTAATATCCTAATAAATCACTTTGTTTTACGTGCGAGAGATTAGTTTCAACTCATCGGACCAAACACAGCCTTAATTTTGCGTACCACCGGTGTGCATGTGTTAAATAAAGGTGATTAACTAGTTATGCTATGAGATTGAATAAAAATTATTATACTAACTAATCTACTTTCTCCGTCATAAAATATTCTATCTAGACGATGGCCAAAACATCTTACGACGAAGGTAGATACTACCTCCGTCCCGATATAAGTGCAGTTGTAGGTTTCTATATCCAACGTTTGATCGTTCGTCTTATTTTAAATAATATAATTTTTTTAAAAAAGTCACACATAAAGTACTATTCAGTTTTATCATCTAATAACAATAAAAATATTAACCACACATACTCCCTCTGTCAAAAAAAAATTAAATATAGGATTTGATGTGGCATATTATAGTACAATGAATTTAGACAGATGTATGTTCAGATTCATTATACTAGAATGTGTCACATCCAGTATTAGTTGGTTTTTTATGGACGGAGGGAGTAAAGTAGTGCATATCACTGCAGTACACATTGACCATAGTGTCCACGTGGAGGGTAACGATCGATAAGCCAGGCGCCACGGCAGCATGCAACGTCAGCAAAGTGGCCAGCTCACACCTAACAGCTGACGTCAGCAAGAATGCCCGGCCGGCGCCTTCTCCGGTCTCCACCTGCGGCCTCCGCTAGCCGCCACCTGGAGTCAACCTGTGCCAGCCACCTCAGCATTTCATGGCTGGGTAATATACAGGACTCCCTCTGTCCCAAAAAAACGAATCTAGTGCTAGATGTAATATATTCCATTATAATAAATCTGAACAAAGGTATATCTAAATTTGTTGTATTAGGATGTGTCATATCTAGTACTAAAATAATTTTTTATAGGACGGAGGGAGTAGGGCATAGCTACACGCCTAAGTAAAAATAGAATTATAACTACTCCCTTCTCTTCAAATTAGTCATAGTTCTAGATTTATCCTAAGTCAAATTATGATTATCTTTAAACAAAATATGAATTATATATTATAGAAGTATTTTTTCCTATAAATCCTACGAGGTAGTTAAGCTATATGAATTTATGAAAATTGATAATCAAAGATTACCTAAAACGATAGCTAATTTGAAACGGAGGGAGTAACATGTATGATATACTAGTTTCTCTATTTTTTCTCCTCCTCTCTCTCTAAACTATGTAGTATATTTAGTGTACTTATCTTAGAGTACTATGTGTAGATCTAGCTATTGTATATTTTTCCTCTCTCTCTAAACTAGCTAGTACTCTATCCGTTTCTAAATATTTGATACCGTTGACTTTTTAGCACATGTTTGACCATTCCTCTTATTCGAAAACTTTTGTGAAATATCTAAAACTATATGTATACATATAAGTATATTTAACAATGAATCAAATGATAGGAAAAGAATTAATAATTACTTAAATTTTTTGAATAATACGAACGGTCAAACAAAATTAAAAAAAGTCAATAGTGTCAAATATTTAGAAACGGATGGAGTATGTATTTAGTATATTTAGCTTGGGGGATGTGTAAATCTAGCTATTGTACGAAAACCAACAATTCTTTTACTTGGTCTCTTCTCCAAATATGCTTGCAGCCCTGGAATATGTGCATCGTTTAAATGCTATATACACACAACAAACTATATAAAAAGTATAGAAAATGAAAAAATTGGTGTAGCAACTGATGAGTACATGTCCACACGTATACGCGTACATGTACTTATTATTCTTCGCGGCCAAGCAACTGAGCTCACTTGAGTATACGTACACATGACGAAGCTCGCTAGAATTGTCTACATCTCAGTACGTAAAAGTCATGAAAAATATTTCTCGAATACGAGTCTAATGGATAAGCAACTCTCTTAATTCAATTGTCAATGAAAAGTTGCAAAGTTTAATCTTAAACCCCATCATTGGTGTGGTCGTTGTAGATTTGTAATCTTAAACCCGAAAGAAAGGTCTAAATTAATCATGATCTCCCATAAATATGCTTTGTTTGCGTTTTTAATTAGTGACACATGCTTTGTAGCTAATAAATAAACATAATGCGCGAGTTGAACCTAGCTTAGCTTACATCCACTTCAAGTTTTGAACCTAAAACGAGTTTTCACATTACGATTAATTGTTTTTTAATGGTAGGCAACGATGTATCAACGAGATGTACATCTATCACAGATATATGTCTATGATGATTTTATTAAGTTTAAGATATGTCGGTTTAGTTTTCGGAAGATATTCATAAGTTAGCGTTGGATGAGTGCGCTTATACAAGTACCGTGTTTCGAAGAAAAAGATGCGCTTAATCAGCGTCAGTTCTTGCCTCGGTGCAAAATGTAGGTAGCGGATAACCGTGGCCCATTTCTAAAGAAAAAAGAGAGAAAACTGTGGCCCAGGAACAGATTGTAAAGGAACTTAACAAGCCCAAACCGTTAGAGAAAACCCAATGGGCCGGATCAGATACCAATCAGGCCTCCACTAGATCACGGCCCATCAGTCCAGCCCAAATTTCCGGGCTTTATAAATTGGGATAAGTTCATTCTAGGCCCCTCAATTTGTCACCCAGTCTGATTTTCATCCTTAGTCCGAAAAACCGGATGCAACGCATCCCTCAGCTTATAAAGCCATGCAAACAGTATTGACCCGGTTTTGGCCGACTTGATTAGGTCTTCGTCCCATGTGGCATTAACGTGGTGCTTACGTTGTTAGAGTGCGCAGCCCGACCCACCAACCGTGGGCCACCTAGGTCACATTGGGCCTGCTCCACCACAGGCCCAACCGGAGCCACAACTTTAGGTCCTGGGCCTACACAACCAAAAAGACTAGTCTGATGGGTGAGAACCGCCTCCACCTTTTAAGTCGTGCTCCCCCATCACCAATTACCGATGTGGGACTAAACCCAACATATGTGGCAATTCTATCCGGAAAAATAATAACCCGTGGGGCCCATATGTCAGTTACACACACAAAATAATAAAAAAATGGTGGGGCCCATTTAGCCCCACATGCCATCCCTCTTCTCTCTATCCTATCTCTCTCACTTGGGCAGAGCATGGTGGAGCGGGGCGGCCAAAGCACACGACGGGCAAGCCGGAGCGGCCGACTGGCGGAGCAAAGCGGCAGCACCCGGAGCAAGCCGGCATAGGCGAGGGTCAAGGCGGCGGAGGATGACGACAACAACGCAAGCGCCGCAGACAACGTCGACCCAGACAGAGTGGAGAAGGTGACCCTATCGCCGTCACTGCCAGAGTCAAGGGCGTGCCAGGTAAGGTCGTCGTCCGTTGTACACCTCTTGTGTCGTCGTCGCCGCCTAGGGAGGAGTCCTTGGCCATGTGGTCCTCCTCGCCACACTTGTAGCACGCACAGCAGCCTCCTTGCCGTCGTACCAGCCTCCGCCTCCATAGCCGCAGTCACCCCAACCGTAGCTGTGGTCCCCGCCGTTGCTGGGACGGAATCCGCCGATGACGTCGAACCACATCACCATCCCTTTCACCCTCTCCGACGCCATCTCACGCTCTCCACCTGTTGGCCATGGAGCGCGCGAGCTCAGCGGTGAAGATGAGCGTTGCGTGTGGGAGAGGAGCAGCGCGAGGCGTGGCCACGGGAGAGAAATGAGAGGAGTGGTGCACGATGTAGCGGCGGAAGAGAGAGGAGCATGCGCGCGGCGGTGGCGGGGGAGAGAGCGTCGTGCGGCAGCAAGCGGGAGAGAGGAGAGGAGCGTGGGTGGCGCGGCGGCGGGGGAGAGAGCGCCGTGAGGGTTGCCAGCCTCCCCACTTCTCCCTCTCTGCCATCCGGTGGAGAGAAGGAGATAAGGTAGATGTGGGGTCCACTATTTTATTTTATTTTATTTGACTGACATGTGGGTCCCCTATATTTTGTTTAACTTTTTAGTTTTTCAATTTTGCTTTTTTATTTTTTTCCCGGATCACATTGCCACGTAAGCGCCATGTCAATGCCACATGGGACGAAGACCAAGTCAAAAGGAGACACGTAGGCGCCACTTCATCCAAAACCGGTGACAATACCGTCGAGGGATTTTGTTTGCACCAGTTTTGTAAGTTACAGGATGAGTTGTATCTGGTTTTTGGTTAAAGGATGAAAATCAGACTGGGCGACAACTTTAAGGGACCTACACTGAACTTATTCCTTTTTAATTTCACTAGCTGCTTAAATCAGGCCCAAAATCAACATATTAGTCATCAAATAAATCCACTCCACTAGAGTCAGGCTTTAATTGGAGTATTTCCCAAACAGGAGAGAAAAAAGGAAGTAGGAAAGGCAGATTAGGCCTTACTATTAGTTTCCAAGGTACGAAAATGACATTTTGCGATTTGCCAACATCAACAGATTCAACACTAGAAAGAAAATTTAAAAAGGTGATGCTGATTGGATCCCTGAAACTAAAGTTTCGTCCCTGACCATCACTACCCTGTCACAAGGTGATTAGTGACGACTCCCCAATTGTCTCAATCGATGCTTCTTCACTCTCCTTTTGCTTAGACCTTATCCCTGAGCTATCACACATTTTCACACACACAGACACCTACCTTGTCCAAAGACAAGAGTCGTCATCATCATCCACATCATAATCACTTTCTTAATCCTTCTCTGATGAGTCACCAATGATTTGCACAGTAGCTGTAGTGCTGTTTGGTGACGATTAATACTCCCTCCATACTAATAAAGAAAGTCGTTTAGGATAATGTTTAAGTCAAACCTTGGGAATATAAATCATGAATAACTCTTAAGTTATTGAGTTTGAAAATGTAAAAATTATATATATAGATTTGTCTTGAAAAATACTTTTATAAAAGTATACATATATCACTTTTGAATAAATATTTTTATAGAAATAAGAAAATCAAAGTTGTGTTTTGGAGACCGTGTCGCTGTCCTAAATGACTTTCTTTATGAGTATGGAGGGAGTAAATATATACAGGTGCTTAATTAATTTCATGTATTTATTTTCTTAATCTTTTTTCCTGTGAAGTCGCCATCAGATGGTCCATTACGGTAACCGTGTGTATATATGGGTATAATTGCATCAAAAGAGTCATGTCATGCTTTGAGCGAGCTTGATGTGAATGTGATGTGTTGCTGTACATTTGTGCCATTAATTAATAAATTAAAGCCAGTCCAATAATCTGGTCAAGAGTGTAATAAACTATTGGATTAGTACTAATTGCTGTTCTCCGATGCAATAAACAACACTAATTACTTGCCCGGAATCCGATATGCACAGTTTCATATCACTCCCCAGTAGTACCAGGTCGGTGCCGACTTTGCCATCCTGCAAATTGTATCAGTATTTTATCATTAAAATTTAGCACTACTAATTTGTTAGTAGTATATGCTTTTCTGCATATTAATAATTGTTCAGTTGCCACAGAAAAAGAACATTTTCTGAGGCAGAAAATGCACTATTTCAGAATTGAATCATGCTTAGAAGGAACATGCCATGGTCTGTCTGCTGTGCTAGCAGCTGTACCTTTTGCCTCTTCATCTGCTTCATTCCATAGCACATAGGCCAAATTTTCACAACTCATGTGATCTGTCCACCACAAGGTTAGGTCTCCCTAATCATTAACCAAAGTGTGACATTAATTATTAAAGAAGGCAGTTCATAATCAAAGTGATTTGTGAGCAAATGTAGTGCCAGGATCATGGGATCCTGACAAACACAGTTTTTTTTTTCATCAGTCTATAACGGTGTCATTATTTTTTTGTGTGTCAATCAAGCAAAAACCTTTTCTCTGAACAGTAAAGTATGCAGCAAGTCGTCAACGGAGTATAGTACTAGTAGTAGTGACAGTAGTACTACCTGAAAGCTCATGCTTAAGTTGCCAGGGAAGAATAGTAAACAGCAATCTCCCCATGTGATGATCCTTCTACAACAAAAAAATTCTTTTTTTCTGCATGATGCTATGATGATCTTTGAAAAGATTGGAGTAGTAGTGTCATGCACTACACAGGGATTACATTACAAGTTGAGGGGGTGTTTGGGAGAGAGGGGCTCAAAACCATAAGTCCCCTTAAATCTTTTCAAAGATTATGGTTTTGAGAGAGGGGTTAAAGGGACTTTTGGTTTTGAGAGAGGGGGCTAAAGTTTCGCCCCTCCCTCCCAAACACCCCCTCACATAAAAAGAGCTGATTTATTTTCACCTTTCAAGCAACAAAATCTCTCACACATAAAGTAGTTTACCTTTAGCTACATCACTGTGTTGATACTGGTACCTTTTGTGATCTAGGAGTAAGTAATATAATCATATAGGCTTTGACTGTTCGAGCTACGGTTGATAAGCCGTAGAAAATGAAAAAAACAATAAAAAATAATTTATAAATAAAATTTTTAAATTTGTGTCACTAGCAGTTTAAAATATAATGTTACAAAATATTAAATTTTTTTAAAATTTAAACTCTTGTGTATGATATGTTAATAAACAGACTTTTTAAAGCCTAGGCTTAAGTGATGTTCAATCCAGGTAAACAGAAGGGTTATAAATTTGGTTATTTTTGTAAAAATGCTTTGACAGTTGACACCACTAATCCATTCCAAATTTCCAATACAATGAACACTGATGACTGAGGAGGAACCAGCCAGGAAAGGAGATGGTGCAGAAGAACCCACACCACCATGCTCACAGATGCACAGACACAGGGCTCCTCCCCAGTTTTAATGCTAGGACACTCTCCCCATCCTTGGAATCTGTTGCATTCAATACAGCTCTCAAAAAACTAAAAGAAAAAAGAAAACAAGATTTAATGTTGTCCTAGCTAGATCCATCCAAGGCTCCAAAAACACTGTTTGGCTCCTCCCAGTAGCTGAAGTGAACTGAACTCCTCTCATTTTCAAGAGTGCATTAGTACTCACTCCCCCCCCTCACATGTGTTGTGTTTTGCTTGCTTGTGTGATTAGTGGAGTAATCAAGAAGAAATAGTGGGGAAAGATAAGTGTGTGTGGGTGTGGCAATAAAGGTGAAGTCTTCAAGTTTGCAATCTTCTCCCTTTGCTCCCCACAAGATTACAAATCTTGTGTTTGTCTTGTTGCCACTGCCGCTGGTGATAGACTCTACCATACTAGAGAAAGCCATAGAAAGGAGATAAGAAGAAACCAAGAAAAGGGAGAAACAAAAGTTGAAGAAGACTTTCTGCTGATATTTTTGCACATATATATAATTTTTTCTCCTCCATCTGCACTCTCTGGAAAGAAGAAGAAGAAGAAGCAGAAGAAGCTTGGAGCTTGAGCTTTCTGAATTTGTAAGTTTATTTTGCTCTAATTTTGGGCTACCAATTGGGTTTATATTTCTCTAGTGGTGGTGACTGGTGAGTAATTTTCCCCTTATTTTATTGTGTTGATGTGAGGCCTTGGGGTTTTCTATCTCTTTGCATCGTTTTCGCTTTCATTTGTTTAGAGATTTGTTCTTTGAACAAAGCATGCAGAAATCTCTGAGGACTGAAGTGTTTCTCTCTGCTTGTCACTTTCTCCCCAATTGTGGAATAACTAAGAGGAATCGACATGGGGTCTAGTCTTCCATTCCACAAGATTTGCATCTTCCCCATGAATCTTCCAAGAAAATCTGTATCTCTTACTTCCTTTCTTTTTCTCTAGGTCTTGTCTTGCAAACTAGGATAAAGATACAAGTTAGTAGTACAAGAAACAGTAAAGGTGAAAGTCTTGTGTTCTTTTCCCTGCGATTTCTTCTGAAAAAGGTCGCCATTAAGAAAAAGCTTTGCAATCTTTGGAGTGTTCTTCTCACCCAGTGGTTTCTCTGCTTGTTCTCTTCTGATTAATAACAGTAGTAGCTGCTCATTAAATTGCATCTTTTTTTAATTTATTTAATTTCTGTTGATGTGAAACGCATCCAATCTCTTGCAATCAATGTGAGGCTTTCATTGGCGTATGAGCATAAAAAGGGGGGAAAGAAAGGTGGGAGTCTTTAGGTTTCTACTCCTAAAAATTGTTTCTTTCTTATGTGCAGCAGTCGGTGTAACTAATGGGGGAGATGAACCAGCCGCCGCCGCCGCCGGTGGCCGTGCCGCCGCCGATGGTGATGCAGCCAATCATGCATCCGCCCGTCGGCACCGGCGCCGTCTTCCCGCCGCACGAGCAGTTCCACCATCTCGCCTACTGCGTCCACTCCAACCCTTCCTGGGGTAAGGAAACCCCAACCCCTTCATTCCTCCTCTTTTTTATCTTTCCTTGTGTGTTTTTGTGTTGGTTGGTGAATGGATTGGATATGATGAATATTCCCTTTCATCCCTAAAAATTTGGGAGATTTGATTTTTAGGAGTATCTGCTGGTTGGGGTTTTTTTGACTCAAGATATTTTTTGCCTTTGGAGTGGGGGAGCTTCTGTGTTGTGTTGTTTTTGTATGATTCTTGAATTGGGGGGTGTCCAGAGATATTTGATGTGTGTTTTGATTTGAAGATTTTTTTTTAGCATAACTCCTGTTTCACTCCCCTGCTAATATTTGAAGAGATTATGGTGTCTACTGGTGCACACTATTGATGTTTTCCAGAGAGTTGTAGCTACTATTATTTTTTATAGACTAGTAAAAGGAATTGGTGGTGGTGATGATTTGCTTTACACCCCACTACTTCATCAGATCTTTAGTGAATGGATCTATGTAGACATAGCTATTGTTTGTACTACTACATGCTTATGTATGTAGATGTTGAATTCTTTGTAGTACATACGTATATGCAGTTGCTGGTTGACCTAGTGTGAATATTTTAATTGTGAAGGTAAGTATAACTGTATTTGTGTAACCATGGAACTTTTGACATGTTCATTTGAGATCCCCTGCAATATAGAGGCAAACACACTAGTTCTGTCAAAAGAATCTTAGAAGAGTAGTAGGATGTTCAGGCAAAAACGCTATGAAGTGCTATCTTGATTTTTTTAAATTATCAAATGTACTTCTGGAAATTAAATTACTCATGTCGATTGCAGAAATGATTAAGACATATAAAGCTTGTGCTCACTAAATTACTATTGTTGATATTACCTTCAGTTCAGGTGGCCGCACTTGCATTCCTCCACTATCTTGTGATGCTGGGTTCTACTGTCATGCTTGCATCAACTATTGTTCCTGCAATGGGTGGTACCCCAGTAAGTACATTGTTTATTTTGTTATAAAGAGTTTATTACGTACCATTATAGTTCTCTTCTAAAGAATTGGTACTGACCTTTTCCCGCTTGTTGCTAATAGGGGGATAAGGCTCGTGTTATTCAATCCTTCCTATTTATGAGTGGCATCAATACTCTCCTCCAAACACTTGTTGGAACGCGGCTCCCTACAGTTATGAATGCTTCCTTTGCATTTGTCGTCCCAGTACTGTCAATAGCCAAAGACTTTGAACAAAATAACTATGCGAGCAGTCACCAGGTAGAGTACCGTTCATATTTGTTCAATCATAGAAAATTGTCTGGATCATGATCAATTTATTTGCATTGATTGATCAAATTATTATTGATTACTTATAACCTATTAGGGATTTTGCAGAGATTTACTCACACAATGAGAGCAACTCAAGGGGCTCTGATTGTTGCTTCTATCCTCAACATGATTCTTGGGTTCAGCACAATTTGGGGGGCATTCGCCAGGTACATATCTTATAATATTTGTTCTTAGACTACAATAGTCATTTTGTGCTAGATTTTTTCAAGGTATTGACATTTGAATTGATTTCTTTCCAGGAAATTTAGTCCTGTAATAATGACCCCTGTTGTTTGCGTTGTTGGTCTTGGGCTATTTGCACTTGGCTTTCCCCAGGTACGATCTCTATATTATTTTTACAGGAAAATCTAGCAGTTCGCAAATAAAGGAAGCATGTTCTCTTTGGTTTCCCATGGTAGGTTGGAAAGTGTGTGGAGATCGGGCTACCAATGCTAATCCTTGCAGTTGTTGTGCAACAGGTAATGAATTAATCTCCTTATAGGGCGGTTTCTTTTAATAACACTCTAACCGGTGATATACTACGAAACTTACTATTTACTATGCTGTGTATGCAGTATGTGCCATATTACTTCCATCATTACCATGAGCGAATCACCTTCTTGTTTGAGAGGTATTCGTTGCTTCTTTGTATTGGGATTGTGTGGGCCTTTGCAGCTATCCTTACTGCTGCTGGTGCATACAACCATGTTTCACTCAAGACCCAGCAGCACTGCCGCACTGACAAGTCCTATCTCATATCATCGGCACCATGGTATCGTTCTCAAGTATATTGATTATGAACTGATTTTAAAAGGCTGTAGGTTCTTCAGATAGCCATTTCTAATCGACCCTTTACATACATGCTCTACTAGGATCAAAATCCCATACCCCTTCCAATGGGGTACACCAATCTTCACTGCAGGTCATTCATTTGGAATGATGGGTGCTGTACTTGTTTCTGCTTTTGAGGTAAGACCAAGGCCCAAAAATGTAATCAGATCTCTTTTGTTATGTTTTATCTTTTGTTGTTTCTAATGTGTGTTATCTCATGTAGTCCACTGGTGCACACTTTGCAACTGCACGTCTAGCTGGTGCGACACCACCTCCAGCTAGTGTCCTTAGTAGGAGTGTTGGTTTGCAGGTGAGTTTTGTTCAATATAAGATTTTATATTCTTACACCACATCTCAGTCTACATTACCGACACCAATAAAATGTCTTGTCTGTATCTAACTTGCATTTGAAAACAAGTCCCCAGCTCATTAATCTCTAACAAGTAATAGCGAGACATCAAATATGGTTGTTTGTACATACTATGCATGACTTTCCTTTGCTACTAAAAATATTGATTTAATCGGATGGATCTGTGGGAGAGCTGTTAGTTCAAGTCCTTGATTTACTAATGCTATTACCTATTATTTATTTTGCCATCCTTGCTTTTACTTGTGAAATTTTCTTGTGCCATCCTTGACGACTTTACAATTTTACTCGTGTGAAATGCAGGGCATTGGAATGTTCCTAGAAGGTATCTTTGGCGCTCCAGCTGGTTCATCTGTATCAGTGTAAGGGGATCTCAACTTTTATGCCCTTTCTATGAGTTTGTTATTCGAGAAGACTAGAACAGTTCCATGCAAATAGATGTTAAATATATATGCTTCAAACAATAAATGCTCAAAATAAGATGTAGTGTTGGTGTTAACAGAGTATCTAGTCCTACATTCTAGCTATAGTTGTACATCGTTCTGGTTAGGTAAAGCTTTTTGTGGTATTCAGTTTATTACTCTGGGGTAGGAGCTGATTAGGAACCATAGTACACATGATGAAATGTAAAGTTCACATATTTTTATGGGTAGGCCATGGTATGAAATTATTCTGTTATTATGTACAGAACATGTAATTATTCTGTACAACTAACCATAGGCAACTTGACGGTCCCTGCTTACACACTTAAAAAAGATACGGAGTACTTGCTTTGCAAACCCTTTTGTGGTTAGGAATAGTGGAATACTATACTGGTGGGCTTTGATCACATTGCATGAGAGTAAGATTTAGTTTCTTTATATTTGTGTTCATTTGTGAACTGAAAGGACCCCTTGCCTTTAATATAATGCAGTGAAAACATTGGGCTTCTTGGACTAACAAAAGTTGGAAGCAGGAGAGTGATCCAGATATCAACTGGATTTATGATTTTCTTCTCCATATTTGGTAATCTTTTGGTCTCATCTTCAGTTGCCAAAGGGGAAAGATAGTTTTGTCTGAAATTTGTATACTTCTATTCATGCAGGGAAGTTTGGTGCTTTCTTTGCATCTATTCCATTGCCAATCTTCGCAGCAATTTTCTGTATCTTATTTGGTATTGTTGGTGAGTCCGAATTTTCTTTCTTAAGAGTCCTTGCATCGATGAATATATATGGCCGCAACATGATTGTGTTCATTTTATGTTCTAATCTGTTTTTTTTGGCATATCAGCTGCGGTGGGAGTCTCGTACATGCAATTTGTAAACAAAAATTCGATGAGGAACATATACATCATTGGACTTTCGCTGTTCCTAGGCATCTCGGTTCCTCAATACTTCCATGAGTATACTGCTTCTGCTAGCACTGGACCTGCCCGAACAAATGCTGGATGGGTATATTCCTTGCCCCCCTCGCATGCTATTTACACAGCATTATGTTCTGACCATCTGTGATCTGACTGTGGTGATACATTCTGGAATTATATTTTTGGTCTTTGCTCCTGCACTCTTTAAAAAAGTTTATACCTCGGTGTATATTATTTTAATTAGACACCTTTGGGCTTTAATTGTCTTAGGTCTGTGTCTTGAACTCTTGGTACATGAGTTCTGGTTTCTAAACAAATCTTTTTTGTTTCGTATTGCAGTTCAATGACATCATAAACACAGTCTTCGCCTCTGGCCCGACAGTGTCACTGATTGTCGCATCGATCCTGGACAACACACTGGAGTTTAGAGGCTACGAAAACGACCGGGGGCTTCCATGGTTCATGCCGTTCCTGCACCGTCGGAAAGGTTACTCAGATCCTAGAAACGACGAGTTCTACAGCTTCCCGATCAGGGTGCATGACGTCATCCCAAGCCGATTCCTCTGACGGGCGAGGGTAGCGCCCGTTACCTGCGCTTCCGCGCATGTAAATCTCTTTGTTCTTGTTAGCCCTTCCTTACTCCTGTGACATGTAGCAATTGGCACCGCCAAGATTAAAAAGTCTCAACTTAGTGGGGATATGGTACAAATGGTTAGGACTTTTGGTTTTCTTTTCTTTTTCCTCCCCTTTGGGCCAACCATTTGGTTAATTACATGATGGTGTAGAGTTGGTTAAATGATTTTGGGATGGATCTTTAAAGAATATCAGCCACCTCAATTTGTTGATTGCTCAGCCAGTGATGTAGATGTGCTTCCAGGACATGCATTGATTTCGTCATAACTCTGTAATCACACCATCTTTTCACTGCATTTGATTGAGAAAACTTCAGAATCAGACCTGATGCACATTGAACTCAAAGAGTCTGGTCTTTGGATGACCGCATATAATCAATCAGGCAGTAAATTCCAGCATGATGCCACTGCCATCTCCTTCACCCTATAAAAAGAGCAGGTGAAGTATCAGCAGCTTGTTTTTGTTTTCCTTGCCTGAAGTTCAGAGAGATGATCAATAAGAGTTCATTCAGCTCAGTTGTAGCCTTGTAGGCCTTGGAGGCGTCAGGAACTGAGAGATAACTCGGAGTTAAGCTGTTGCCTGATGACGCTTCTTATTACGTGCTGATATGATGCTAGAAACCAGTTTCTAATCTGTAATCTCTGATGACACTGTCGCACATTGGCCTGAATCCTGATCGATACCTTGTATCTGCTAAACTGGAGTTGAATGCGATAAATTGGTGCCTAATCTCTAATCAGTTTTCTGTTTGCTTCGTACGGCCCATCTAATAGTGTACTAAATCAGCTGTACTGAAACTCTGAAAGCAAACACTCAATTTTCAGATATGATAATGTCCTTGAGGAAAGTAGAAAGACACTCAATTTTTCAATTTATAGTATTAGATCAAATTAGAGTGAACAAAATGAACACAAAAATAAAATATTTAGAGCAGAGTTAAACTACTGTACTTATAAGTACAAATTTCTAATGGATTGCCTCATTGTAACAGATTTTCTTTCCTCTGCTCCTGCTTTGCTCCAATCTTGCATTTCGTTTATAGAACTTATTTATTACCTGCTCACCCCGTAGCTTCTACTCTAAAAGATTCGATTGGTTCGTCACAACGATGAAATGGTGGTGTAGACTGTAGAGTTGGTGAATTAGGCTCTGTTTGTTGCTGCCTGTTTGCAACTCTCCCATCTCGATTTCCGTGCGCACGCTTTTCAAACTACTATTTCGGTATGTTTTTTTTTCAAAAAAGTTTCCATTTTGAAAAAAAAATTAGCTAATACTTAATTAATCACGCGCTAATAGATCGCTTCGTTTTCCGTGCTGGAGGCCACAGTTCCGAACATGCAGTCTCGAACACAGCCTTGTTATTATTTGGATAATTTCTCTATTAATGATATGGATTTTTTATAACAAAAATGATTTAAATCTCCAGCTTCTACTTCAACAAATAAAAAAGAAACTTCGGGTGATGGGACAAACCTCTAACTCTCTCTTATTATTAATTAGCATTAAATCACATAGATTAATGCATCAATTCTAATGGACCACGCAACCCATAATGAAATAAGAAACCATTTGCTATCGATTCGAAGGGTACAATACTATTGTGCATAGTATTCTGCTTCTTCTGTGGTAGCATCACAAATTAAAAGTGGAGCCAATATAAAGACATGAAAATAAATTGCAGCATGTTAGACAATTGTTTACCATTAAAATCTGTCATTGCGGTAATGGGTCTGTTCGGTTCAGTTGGACTGTGGCTGTATAGCCACAGCGCTGCAAGCCTCCCGGCATAAATTGTTTGCTGAGTCCTGTAGATACAGCGGTGCTGCTATCACAACCAGCTATTCCGAATGCACCCAATGCTAAATTAACCAACATAAAGAACAAGCTTCAATTACTATGTTCTTTTTCATGGACCTAAGTACTTCTCTAAGCCAATTATCAAAAATATTTTTGGTATAGGTGGAGGGATATTAAAAGCAAAAAACACATATATCCAAACAACTCGAGTAATATGACTCTAAAAGAAAAGACGCTAGATTGTCTCTTTTGCATAATAGAAATTAACAACAATATTTATCTCCCCTAAAGCTAGGTTATCCTTTGTTAGGACTACTTTGTTATGAAGAAACGAAGTTTCTAATAGAACCTTTAAATCCCATAGTATCCTCTCGCAGATTCCAATATTGGAGTTCATATAGTCTCAATATATATAGATCTAACCGAAAATTAGCCATTCCAGTACATCCATTGATCCATCGTAACTCTATGACTGCAGTACTGCACCCTTCTTTTACCCTTCATTTGATGAGAAATCATCAGATCAAAGCAATTGCACATTGAAGCAAGCTGCAAGTGAAATGAAGTAGCAGCAACTTGTTTTTGTAGCTTGATATTTTGAGAGATGAACAAGAGGATAAGCTCATGGAGTTGGTAGGCCTGAGAGGCGTCAGGAACTCTCATATTAGCTGATAGGAATCAAGTTGTTCCCCGTCCACTGTGCTTCAGACTCTCTGGCTTCTCCACACATGTTTGGCATACATATTGCAACTCTTGGTTTGGTGCTAGCAACCTGTTTCCTTTTTGAGGAAAAGCTAGCCAACCAGTTTCTGCATCTTGCAGGCTCAGGGTTTCAGAGTTCAGACCAGCGAAATGGCGAGTGGATATGAATATGATCCCTCAATGTCGAGAATGCGAAATGCAGCTTCTTTCTTCACAGTTGTCGACTCATGAAGCTCGCAAAATCATGGTGAACTCCCCAAAGATCAGTTCGTAATGGCTTTGTGTTATCATCTTGTACAATCTTTGTCTGGATCAGTATGGTTCTGAATCAAGACAGGAAACACAAGTAGCCCTCCAGTCCCTTCTCCGATCTTGTCTACTATTTGTTAAATGATGTGAGAAAGCTATATATCATGTTAATTGTTAGTTTGACGTCATCTTCCCAACCGTCTCCGGCGAGTTTCATGAATGTGTTGTGATCACTCATCATGCATGAGTTCGGTCTCAATCTTCAGTCACCCAAAACACAATACTGAAATACGTACAAGATAATCAAGATTGAGTAATTTGGTCTCGGTCAAGACCGAAATACAATAATTTTAGAGTTGGAAAGAAATCACATAAATTATTAAAAAAAATATAATAAAAAAATCCACAATAATAATAAAAAAAAATCATGTGTCACTGGTAGTGGGTGCCCTCCAGTCGACCTCCTCCGCCTGTCGCCGCGCCCTCCTCTAGGACACCACCACCACTAGATCTTCTGAGGAGGACGGGTTGCTGACCCCTAGGCACCAGTGATTCAGAGTGGCGGGACAATGACATGGCGGAATGGTGTGATGACCAAAATGACTGAATAAAATACGGTTAGTTGAACCCTAAGACCGAAGTGATCTGATGATCGAATTTGTCGGTCTTCATTTTCCGATCTCAGTCACGGTCTTTTCGATTCAGTCTATTTTTGCTATCCCTAGCTGTACTGAACAAAACACTCGATTCTCATATATATATGATCATGTCCTGTTTGCTCTACATTTATAAAAGATAAGACCAATGAGCACAGGTTGAGAAGATGAAGAAGACTCGATGGATGATCGACCTCTTGTTCTTGCCATGATAGCTAGGCTTGGGAGGAACCGGGAGCTGTCTTTTTACACATAACCATCTTCCTACCATATTCTCCGCGGTTCATTTGTCAAGTTAGTAGATCTCATTAACCACTCTTATTCTCAACGGATCATATTACATTTTATATGTAACTGGTCACCATGCATCTACTTTCCTTGGTAAGGCTATAGATTAGATCAAAGCAAAAAAAGAACAAATAAACAAAAAACGCTTCGAGCAAATTCAAAGTGCTCTATTGCTTACCAACTGGTTTAGTCTATGTCACTTTAAATGATCTCCCATAAATTCTTCTTGCTCCGGGTTCGGTCTAAAGATTCGATTGCTTTTTTACACGATGTTCTAGAGTTGTATGATTGGGTGAAATGATTTTGGGATGGACGTTAAAGAATATCAGCTACTATATTTCTGATTACTCTGTCAGTAATGTGTGAATTTACTTCCAGTTCCAGCACAAGCATTCATTCATCCCATCAAACATCATAATCAAACCCAGCTGCACATTGAACTCGGATACAGGTCCTGAATGACTGAATTTTTATTTAGACAGTAAATTAAATTCCTGTGTAAAATACCATATGATCTCCTATGCTCCATAAAAGAGCAGACGAAATGAAGAAGCATCAACTTGTTTTTCTTTCCTGACATTCATAGAGATGAAGAAGAGGAGCTCATGTAGTTAGGCCTGGGAGGCGTCAGGATATATCAGATAAGCTAATTGTAAGATGCTGAAACCATTCTTCCTCTCAAGCATCAAACAAGTTTCAGACTCCAATGGACTTGTTTGGCATGCAACCCCTTGATCATTTGATGCTAGCTAGCAGCCAGTTTTCGCATCTTGCAGAGTTCTTCAGTGTTGCAGGAGATGATTTCTCAGTCCGGATTATCTCAGTGTTGAGGGTTTGTGATAACAAAGAAACAATTCAGCATTTGTTCTTCGAGTGCCCCATGACAAGATTCACTTGGAATGTGATGGCTTGTGTCTTTAACATAAAACCTGTCAATGACTTACATTTCACTTTAGGATCCTGGATTAATTCAAGCATGTGACAAAACAACAAAACAGCTGCTGCTAGTTGGAATAGCTGCAGTGATTTGGGCTGTGTGGAAAGTTAGGAATAAATCCTGTTTTGATCAAATTCTCCCACATGATCCTACTGATATTTTATATTATGCTGCTTGCTCCCTAATGACTGATTGGGCCCTTTTTGCAGAGTTCGGAGGAAAAGCAAACAAGATTGATGTGGGGGGGGGGGGGTGCAATTGCTAATAATAAGGCAAATAACAAATGAAGTGTTCAAGTCGCAATATGGATGGAGGACAAATTAGAGAAGACTACGAAACGATAAAAAGTTGGAAGAACTGAGGAAGAATGAAGATGTGAATGGAATGTTATGCAGACACATGTGAATGGCATCTTAAAAGTTGCTGCTGAGTTTTTAGCACTAAGTTGTATGGTCGAAGACCTTAGACTGTTGGGCTGTTGTCGGTCGGCAAACAGTTGTTTTCTGTTTTCTTTTCTCCTCTGTTGGTTGTGAGCACCTGGGGGAGTTCTCCTCCCTGCAGGTAGTAAGACTTTTTTTTTTTGTAGTAGTAGTGCCACATTTCTTTAATAGAAATGGAGGGTAGATGCAACTCTTGATTTGATGCTATAGCAACCAGTTTCTGCATTTTGCATGGCTTCTTCAGGGTAGCCACTAGCCAGAGATTGCAGTTGTGAGTAGATATGATGATCCGCTGGACGCGGGATGGCGGTGATCGAACTTCAAGTGCCAATTCCATTGACGTGAAAATGTGATGCAATAGCTTTCATCATATTTGATAAACTTGTTCAGACCCCCAAGGTCCTAATAAATAACAAAATTAACGAAGTTAAGCTACATTTGAGATTAATTACATCTAGATCATCTTCTCGTTATAGGCTTACAGCATACAAAGAGATGAGATAGTGCATGTGCATAAACAGCACAAACATATGCTGCTGAGAAAAAGAGGATGATCTAATATTAACCATATGGTAGTTAGGCATGGGAGGCATTGGGAGATCTCTCCTGTCAATGGGTCACTTGCTGCTGTGTTTCTTTTGCAGAGCGTATTCAGAATTTTCACCACATACAATGAACCAAATGTTTCAGATGCACCAGGGAGTACTCAGATTACATTCTGCATGTAACTAGTCTCAATGTATGTGATCTATCTTTCTCTCATTGTCACCTCGTGCAAGTTCTTAACCTAACCATTTTGTACTTCTGGATTTTCATCTAGTTTTCTCCTAGAAACATTGATACAAATTTGTTGATGCATCAGTCTGGCCTGCTATGTCCATCGACTAGAAGCCCATCGAGGAACAAAACACGCGAATGTCTAAACATCATGAATATTGGACTGTAGTTGGAATATGCACTTAGCTGAACTTCTGAAAAGACATAATTATTCAATCCATCTGTTCGTTTATTTTTTCGAAATGTCCTTACAAGTTCAGAGTAGACTGTAGGAGCATGCTTCTGTTCATCCAAATAATTGTCAATTTCACGTAAAAAGAAAATTACTAATTTCATGCATTGTTTGCCTTTCTCCATGACAGCCAAACCAAACATCTTTAATTTTTTTTGAGAAGATCCAAATGTCTTGGTTTAGAGCTTTTATTTCTTAATTGAGAAACTTTATAGTCTTTAAGAGTTACCGAGAGGGAAAGATTTTTGGTGCAAAAATTTTGTACTCATAAATCCTAGTACGTGAGATACAAAAAGGTATTAAATTTTAAAGTAAAAAGTGTGGTACCTCCCGGTAGCCTTCTTAAGAACCATAAAATTAATTTTCTTAGTTTGGTGAAGTGGCATTGGTGAACATTCATTATACTATTGAAAGCAGGAGATGAAGGAGAACAATTCAATGATTCATTGGTCTGTCATAATCTCATCGATCACTACCACTTTATATATATGGAGATATTGATCTATCACAATGTTAGATAGTCCACTCTCAAGAAAGAATTAGCATTAATTACACGTCTCTAGTTTTTCCAGAGCTAAGTTCTGCATTTAAATGATGGCATTAGATCATATGATATATAGATCAATGGACACAAATGCTAGAGAGAGAGAGAGAGAGAGAGAGAGAGAGAGAGAGAGAGAGAGAGAGAGAGAGAGAGGAACATTGTTCATGGAACTAGAAACTAAATTTTCATGTTCGTTGGCCTAGGAGGTATCAGGAGTTCACATGTCACCTTGATACACTGCCGAACAACTGAATGTAGCAAACCCATATAGGTGGTGGCTGAGATTTTTACTCCTCTTCTGAATCCTTGCCCTACTATTTTCTCCATCTCATTTAAAAATAGTACAAGGAAGGGAATAATTATCCAAAGAATCAAGGATATGAGAGGGTAAAGTTGCAAATTACACTATTTGAAGGTGGCTTGTTGGTGGTGAGGATGGGCAGCTTGGGGCGGCAGCTGGCCGGCTACGTTAGTCATTGGGGGTAATGTCGTCGCTGGCAATGTGTGGTGCACATCTCTCTTTGTTGTTTGCTAATCCACTACACGGTAAATATTGTACAGCCAGACAGAATTCGACTATCTCTAGATGAGAAATATGTTGTAAATATACTTTATAAAATACTTAGTCACACCCAAGAAGAATTTCCTGGAGATGCCACTGATTTAATTCGGTGGTGTACATGTGATACAGTTCTTTTGGATGCAGGTCGTCTGCAGTACTGCACTGCAGGGGATCTCAGTTGAGTTCTTTTTGCTCATGGTTTGTTCGAAATTCAGCTGATAATCGTGCTTATCTGTATGGATCGGTGTGCCATCTTACACAATCTTGTCCATATTAGAGAAAAAAAACAGACACAGAGACTTCCCATCAATCCATCATCCTTTGATCTCTTGTTAAATGCAGAGGGCAAACATTGTTATAATCTGATCTCGTCTTCTGAAATTTCGGACCCCCCTGCACTAATCGATTTCGCCCGAAAACTTCAGTTTTTTTTTTAACTTTTTTAGATTTGGTTGGCGACGATTTGAATCACCAGGGAGCAATAGTGAAAATTTGAATTTAGAACTTTTTAAAGTTGATTTTGCCCTTTTTTTTCAGCTTGGGTTTTGAACTGCTAAGAATAGTCTTAGCAGTATAAAAGTCTTACTAGAAAATTATTTATTTTCATTTTTTGGCTTTATTTTTCTTGGTTTATAAGCCAGTAGCTCAAATGCTCAATCAATGAGACAGCTTGGATCGATGATAGCGTTCCAATTCTCAGGTGAGTTAAAGGATATTTCGACTTTTTTAAAAGACATATTTCGACTTCAAAGAGGGGTTTCCTACGCAAAACACCACTTCCTGACATTATTGGTGTTTATCTGATAAATTAGTAGTCACAAAATAAATTTGGCACCAATTAGAACTGTCACCTCGTTAATTTGGTCTCAGTTTTTTTTTCTGTTTGCATCAGTACTGCCTAGCTAATACAGAGTAATAATACTAGTGGTTTATTATGCATTGAGCTCAGCTGTACTGAACAAAACAATCAATTTTCAGATACGGCCATGTCCTGACTCCTGTTTGCTCTACATATAAAGGAGTACATGTAGATGGAGATTGTTCATTCCAATGGCTAGTTGGTTATCGATATGGGAGCTAGCTAGTAGGCTTGGGAGACACCAGGAGCTGCTCTATTACAGCGAATTTGCTGAATTCTGCATTTGATGGTAGGAGCTCTTGATCATTTGATGCTAGCAAACCTGCTGCTGCATCTTGCTGGCTTCTTCAGGCCGCACAGCTGGAAGAAGACGACGTCAACTGGACAGATGAATCCGGTGCACTGATACCATGTTAACTCTAGTGAATAATAGAAATAGGGAATAGATTTGTTGTGTATATATTGAGTTAGCGCCAATGACATATATTGAGTACAATAGAGATGAGAAATACCTCTAATACCCCCGACACATCTCTACTCCCTCCATCCTATATTGATCATCTCGTAAGATTTTTGAGGTCTTCCCAAATTCATGATCATCTAACTGTGCCTATTCGTTTATTTGTGCAAAATTAAATAGCATTGTAGCATGTCTGGTTGTTTATATGAGCAGGAGTCAATGTCATCGCTGCATGTCAATTCATTTATCTGTACAGGAGTAAATAGCATCGTTACATGCTCACCTTAATCGATAAGATTTAATTTAAGGAAGGATGTTTTCTTGCCTTGGTCTTGATGCCCATTTATAAATGAGATTTGCTCCAGTCCAGCAAAAAGTACCTCGAGATACCGGTATCTCACGGTATCAAATCGTTTCCGATCGTTGGATCAAGCTGGACATTGTTAGATCTAACGATCGAAAATGATTTGGTACCGTGAGGTATTGATACCTTGAGATACTTTTTGTTAGACTGGAGTAAATCTCTTTATAAAGACGATGATCAAATTGGGATGGTGGGAATATTTTTTTAACTGGTAGTATGACGTTGTTAATCTTGATATCATCTTCTCGTCGCCCTCCAGCGAGTTACATCGGTGCTTTGTGATCAGTAGCACGAGTGCTGTTGAAGCTTGCAGCTTGGCTGCTGTGCTCGTGCAGCCTTCGATCGATCAAACCAGTGCTATGTATAGATGTGATGTGTGGTAATGAGATTATCTGATAAATTGATGCCAAATTTCTTGGCAGAAAATAAACCTTGGATTTAACCATGGTAATTCGGCATGGGAGGCACCGGGAGATGTCCTGTGAATAGGTCGCTTACCTGCAGTGCTTTTTGGCTGAGCGTTCAGTATACCCAATGAACCAAATGAGAGAGATGCCCCAGGAATCAATTTATATCTTTCTCTCACAGCATTTTACATCCAGATTTTCTTTCATTGTCCCTATAAAATTTGATACAATTATTAGGTTGATGCATCATTCAGGCCTGCTAGGCCCATCATTAACTGGAAGCTCATCTGAGGAACAACACGCGCGCGAACGTCTAAATGCCATGAATTGGACTGTAGTTGGAATATGCACTTAGCTGAACTTCAGAAAAGACATAATTCAATCCATCTGTTCGTTTATATTTTTCCAAAATGTCCTTACAAGGTCAGAGTAAACTTTAGGAGCATATGCTTCTGTTCATCCAAATAATTATCAATTTCACGAACAAAAAACAATTACCAATTTCATGCATTGTTCACCTTTCTCCATGACAGCCAAACCAAACATCTTTAATTTTTTTGAGAACATCCAAACGTCTTTATTCAGTGCTTCATTTCTTAATTGAGAAATTTTATAGTCCTTAAGAGGTACTGAGAGGGACCAAGATTTTTAATTAGAAAAATTGGTACATCCTAATGCGTGAGATACTAATAGGTATCAAATTTTATATGAAAAAGTGTTGTACCTCCTAGTACCCTCCTTAAGAACCATAAAATTATTTTTCTTAGTTTGGTGAAGTAGCATTGGTGAAAATTCATTATACTATTGAAAGCAGGAGATGAAGAGTACAATTCAATGATTCATTATTGGTCTGCCATAATCTCATTGATCACTACCAATATATATGTATTGGGATATTGATCTATCACAATGTTAGATAATCCAGTCTCAGTTACGTGGACATACATTTATGTGCTACATTGAAGTACTAAAAAATGAGGGTGTTGAGCAGCTACATCAGACCAAATATTACTTAGTATTGACACAAAATTGGTAAATTTTACAGAGGTCTCTACTGCTAGTAGAAGTGATCCATGCCCATCATCATCTTAAATCCAAGGGGCTAGACTTACTTATACTGCCAACCATGGTTTGCAAGTTCGTTTCAAAATTTCCGAGACCCACTGGCACGAAAATATTTGGCCCAAAATTTCAATTTGTTTCAATCTTTTTTTTTTGTTGTACTCTTTGTTCTTGTTAGTCCTTCTTACTTCTGTAACATGTACTCCAAGATTAAAGTCTCAACTTAGTGGGGATATAGTACAAATGGTCAGGACTTTTGGTTTTATTTTCCTTATTTTTCCCTTCCCTTTGGATTTGTTCAGAAAACTATCAGAATCAAAGCAGGGGCATAGCTGCACATTGATCTCGGCTGCATGTCTTGAGTGATTGCATGGAATCAGACAATTAATTCCTGTATGATAGCATTCTATCTCCTCTGCTCCATAAAACAGCAGACGAAATGAAGTAGCAGCAGCTTGTTTTTCTTGATTGATTATTTGGTTTTTATCAGAGATCGATGATCAAGAAGAGTTCATGGGGTTCAGGCAGCCCAGGTAGGCCTGGAAGACATCAGGAGCCGTCAAATGCGCCGATGGTAAGCAATCTTCTGCTGCTTGTCTGACCATTTTGCTTCTCACTCAAGTAGTCAAGTTTCTGATTTTAGTAGTTCACTGCAATTCTTTCATTTGATATTAGCAACAACCCAACTGACCAGTTTCTGCATCTCGTAGGCTTATTCCAAGTCGCAAGACCAAGAGGTCATGATCACCTCAACATCAAGGACACAGCACGAGTCTTCTCCTCCGTCCGGTTTCCCGAGTAACCGTTGAGATGCTTCCAATGATGTACATGTGATGCAGTTTATTTAGCTGGTGATTTATAACTTGCTGAACTCCTCAAATTGTTCGTGCTAGCTTCCTGCTTTCACCTTTCACGTTGTTGTTTTGTGAAAAAGAGACATCCTCTGCTTGCGAATGATTAATCTGGTCCGCTTGATCGTGATTGGAATGGATTAGAGATGTTGTAGAGTTGTATGATCGGGTAATGATTTTCTGATGGATTGCTAAAGAATAAATAATACCAACCATCTCATTTGTTGATTGCTGTGTCAATGATCAAAATCATCACCTTGTTAATTTGGTCTCAGCTTTCTGTTTGTTTCAGTACTGCCTAGCTAATATAGTGTACCTATTTCTAGTTTATATATTGAGCATTGTAGTCAGCTGTACTTGTTATAAAAGTTAGTCGATATAGCGGAACGACAACTAACCTTCTCGATCGTTTCAATCATTGACCACCCAAGACATGCCAGATGATGACACATGAACACACGATATTTTTTAACGAGGTTCAGCCGAAGCCTACATCCCCGGGGCTCTGATTATGGGCGCTCCTCCCCAACCAACATAGCACCTAGCCGCTATGAGTCCATGGCCACGCCGCCATCATCTCCCTGCGTGTACTACGTTGTAGTCGCATGGTTACATTGTGGTGCCCCTTCTCTATTTAAGAGAAATGCCGGGTTACAGAGTCCGACTCTAACTCTACCCCCTAACACCTATTACAACTCCAAGTCTAACTGTAATCAAATAGGACTAGTATATTCGACACTTATTCTAATAGTACTGAACCCCCCCCCCCTCAATTTTCATATATGATCATGTCCTATTTGCTCTACATATAAAAGACAAGACAAGGAGCACGGGTTGAGGAAGATATGAGAGAAAAGTAGTATGGAGATCGATCACTCCGAGTGGCTTGTTTTTTTGCGGTGGTAGGCTTAGGAGGAATCAAGAGCTGTCCTGTTACGATGGTGATCTGTGAAAGAAGCCACACATTTCTTTGGTTTAGGATCACCTGTAGGTCCATGAAATAAGCCATGCAACTTCTAAACTTCATGAGTTATTTCTGGAGAACAAGTAGGGCCGCTTGTGCTGTATTGATAGAAGAAATGTGCAATATAAAGATGAGATTAGAGTGAAACAAAATAAACTGCTAAGTAATACTAACTATTAATGGATTAACTCATGGTAACGGATTTCCTATTCCCCTCTGCTCATGCTTTGCTCCAATATTGCATTTCATTATAGAATTTGTTTATCACCTGCTCCCCTCGTAGCTTCTACACCTTTAAAGATTTGATTGTTTCATCACATGATGACATGACGATGTAGAGTTGTATCACTGAGTGAATTATTTAATTTGTTGATTGCTCAGTCAGTTATGTGGATGAGATCCATTTCAATACATTGATTGATTCATCACAATGCTGTGTAACTACACCCTTTCCCCCCTGCTTTTGATGAGCAAACATCAGAATCAAACCAACTGCGCATTGAAGAAAGCTGCAGGTCCTGGAACGACTAATTCCTGTATGATGCTATGTTATCTCCATTGCTCAATTAAAGCGCAAATGAAATGAAGTAGCAGCAACATGAATGTTTTTGTAGCTTGATATTTAGAGACTATGAACAAGGGGAGCTCATGGAGTTGAGCCTGTCCAGTGGTAGGCCTGGGAGGCATTGGTGGTTTTTTTATTCACTTTAGGTCCTTCAATTTAACGTCGAGTATGAAATTCATCTTTGAACCGAAATACCAGACACAGTTCATTCCCCAACTCCCAATATCGTGTCAACTTTGGTCTCAATGCAGTACGACTTCCGGTTTCGTCCAACGTGGCACATCAATCAAGCATATGATTTGAAGGATATATGATTAAGAAGATGATCAGCTCATGTATTTGTTTTGTGTTCTCCACAACTTAAAGTAGGCAGGCAGCAGGGCCGTCTTCAGGATTTTGGGGCCCGGAACAAAATGTAAATTGGGGCCCTAAATTTTCTAAAGCTAATTAATATGTCACTTTCAGTCAACTATACAACTTTAATTTGTGTTATTTCATACAATATTTACAAATACATTTTCAAATATTAATTCTAAAAGAGTAAAGGTAGTATTGAATAAAACCAAGAGCCATACTGTCTTAAGATCAAAGTTGATACTCAATGTCAATTTTGAGGAACCTAAAGTGAACTTATTCCTTTTTATTATATATATGGGCTGCTCCTTCACCGCGTGGGCCAGTTAAATCGGCCCATCACTTTAAGTGGGCCCACAAAACTGACGGCAAAGTATGGGCCAAAACATATCGCCCGGTGAAATATGGGCTTCTTGTTGGGCGGACTCAATCATCACTTATTATGTAAAAAAAAAAAACAAGTACAGAAAAAATGCTTTGTTTTGCTCTTCTGTTCTGCCCTCATGTTTTCATCTTGCTCTGCTCTTTGCTCAATTGCTCTTGAGTAGAAAAAAACAAGATGGATGAAAGTGAGATCACCATGTCACACACAGATGCAGGATTCCTTGCGCAATAATGGTCGATGTGCGGGTTATATTGAATTTAGCACCAGCAATTAGTGGCATGTGGACTGAAAAACAAAGGGAACCCTCTCCCATTTTTTTGTGCGAGTACAAAAGGAAGGAAAATTGTGACAAACAGGGCCAGATAGGACTTAAGATAGCGTTGTGATGATCTCAACAGTAAAACACGGCAATGGTAGAGTATTATACAACAACCCTGAATACTGATATATGGCATCCCGACTGTTGCAACCGTCGTGGAGCACTCTCCTATTCCTGACACTTATAATCCATGGATTTTGGAAGATGGGTCTTTACCAAGCAGATTTTGTTGAGCACTGGGTTTATGACTTAATCAGGCCCTGATCGTTGTGTTCCTCGGGTGAATTGTCCATGATTCTTCTTTTGAGAGGACATTGTCTGCTTCTCTGATAAACCAATGTGCTCAAATATTTCAGTCATCGCCGCGCTATGCAGATACTGCATGTTAGCACATAGTAGCCATTAGTTCGATAATCTTCATAGCATGTTCGATCTCTAAATTTAGTTTAAGCACGCAGAGCAAAATTTTGACTGGAACTGAAGCCAAATGGTGATAATTAAGGCAATTTTGTAACTTACTCTCCCCAAAGCATGTAGCATGGTAAGTCCTGATGCCTCCTGTGCCGAACAATATGCAAGAAATGCGATCTCTCTCATCTTGAGAGTTTTTCTTCTCGTTCGTGTGTTCGTGTGTCCTCGTAATAGGACAGCATACAACTCACGCCTCCTGGTGCCGAACAAAAGTTTATGCATGTCTCAGATGGTGATGCGATAATTGAACACTGTAATTCCACTTCAATATCTACAGCACCTACTACTGTACAGAGAACTGATGGTGCTCAGCTCAGTTGAAGAATTGGAAGGTGATGTCCCTTACTCGTATAGTAGTAGTTCTCTGCTTGGGAGTAGTTCTCCTACTGCTCTCATGTCGTTCTACGAAAATGTCTTCTGGGATTCTATTGACGCTTTTTCATGGCCAATATGAGATCACCTAACGATTTATGGTGTAATCAACAGAGCCGCCAAAATCGATAGATCAAAACCGGCTAGCGGAACCGATTTCAAGATTAATTTACTTTCGTGGAATCAAACGACTAATTTACGAGCAGATTAGTAAAGAAGATAAATATCGTACTTACATGACGACGAACGACTAGTTTCTGAGTAAACTAGCAAATGATAACCTTCTCGCTTTTGTAGAGAAGCACAACCGTTTTTTAGCGCAAAACGATAAAGATTAACTAAATTCTAGGGTCGCTATAACTCAGCCATAAAAATAAAATAGAAAAGAACGTTAGATTGATATATATATATATATATATATATATATATCTCCATGTGAACAGCTAATAACAACCAATAAACTCCCATCAGGCCATGCACTATGTGACCCCCATCACTGCTTCTCCATCTTGGCTACATGCCCATCAATCACCTGCACCTAATCTCTATAGACCATAGTGTATATACCTGCTTCGTCTAGATATTTAATTGGTTCCCAAATCTATAACTCAACAAATACGATAGCTATTCTAAATAATTTGGCATGGCCAAATAAACTAACTACAAGCCAAATTATGATTCAAACAGATTCACCAATAATGTTAAGTATATATGTGTGAGTTAGTATGCTAAGGGCAGTTTAGTATTTAATTTCCTCCTCCTATTGTACACAATTTATATGTGCTCTTTGAGCTTATCCAAGGTAACAATTCAATCCCCCATTTTTTTTCTTCTCTGAAATTAACAACCAAAACTGTCCGTCAGATACAAAATGGATGATGGATGAGTGGACAGGGCAAAATGATTAGCAAATAAGACAGCAATATGAGTTCATGGACATAGATCATTCCAGTGACTTGTTATTGCGATGATATCTCTACGCTTGGGAGGCACCAGGAGGCGTGAGTTGTATGCTGTCCTATACGAGGCATCCAGTGCATGCATCGTCTCATAGAAGGTCGGACCTATTGTACCCATATCGACAAAAGGGAACGGTTGTCGGCGGCATTGACAGAGGGTCGTTGTAACTTTGAAACGTTGTAATATGCTGGATCAGAAATGAGTATCCGTAATCAGTGTCATAGGCATGTAGACTTTTGCTAAACCTCATTAACAAATATTGTGTCTCGGTGTCGTCATCTTGATTGGTTCTCCTATGATGTTACTTTTGCGTTTGGTTTCTAATGGTGATTTTGGACTGATTTTATAACAGTTAAATCAATAGTGCTGTAATATACTACTTAAATATGTAGTTTTGTGATAGTATGATCAAAATATTTATAGTTTTACAAAATTTACTCAAATATTTAATCATGCTTTTCCCTATTTTCTTGATGGTTTAGCCTGGCCCATCGCGAGAAAGATCCATTTTCTTAGCTAGGTAGTTGTGATATCACAGGGATTTGGCTATGGATGTTGCAGCATAAAGGTAGGTGCGACAGTAGCACCAGCTACGGGAGGTGTTCATAAGTATACGCCAAAGTTAATGTAAATATATAAAATAATTTTTTGTGATATTGTAAGGTAGACACGCAAGAGTGCACAAGTCAATATAGGCAGAAGTACCTATAAGCTAGTGTGTCCCTTTAACACAAGCACAAATTAAAGCACACAAAGAGAGACATTAGCTGTTAATCCCTAACCTCACTAGCTAATTTCTAAAAAAAAAAACAC